GTAAAAGTTACGGATACATTTGCTTCCATATTGCGTGCAGTAAAATGCATGGCTGTTACCGAACAGCCCGACGTTTGAGTATGTGTTCTAGCATGGCTTAACGGGAATTGTCAGTTGTTTCTTCGCTGCATACATTGTTTGAGAGACTTTAGACTAAATCAACCAAAGTTGCGCCTGGTTGTGCCAATTGGGACTTCTCAAGAGAAAGATATTTCGAAAGCTCACATGTGGACATGCCGGTCAGTAAATAATAAATGTAAATGAAATTTTCGGGTGCAATCGAAACATACCATGTCGTGTACATCACGAGAAATTTCCTTCCATCACATTTCTTCGTACTTTTTTCTGTTGTTCGATTACGACGATTACTACACACATAAAGAAGACTACTTGATTCCAAGCGCTTAATAGCGTGGAAAGGTCCTTGGATATCAAGCAAAGTTGGATTTTTCCAAATTCTGCCTATATGTCCTTTCAATATAATCAGCTAAACTGAACCTTCTTCTAGTAAACACTATTTTTCACCTCAAGTTGATTCAATAAACAATATAAACTACCTCAAATGTGTATTAAACCATCACTTCAAAATTTTCTCTTGAAATTTAATGAGTTAGACAATCTACTATAGTTGACCCTGAAAACGCCGATTCGGCGGAGGCGCTTTACGAGCCTTAACGACCGCAGGCACCCCTAGTCGATGTTGGAGATTGTCACGACTAGCAATCATGAAAAAAGTGCCGAAATTTCTGAAAAATTGGCTGATTGTTCGCTATTGAAAACATTACGCAAATGAGGTTGCAGAAGTAGACTTGGTGGAATTCTTATTTCCCAAACGCTATTGACGATAAATTGAACGTTTGAAGGCTACCTTGTCGAAAGTGCAGCTGTTTTGACGTTTTGGGACTCCCGTCGTGTCGATAACTCTCTGAATGTAGCCATTTAATACACTTATCAATGGAGATACTAGAGGAGACATAGAATAACGCTTAGGGCTTGGGGGGGAGGGGGAGGTGAGCAACCAGGAAAACCTTACTTGAAAGACCGCGAGGGGGTAAAGAAGATGCTGAAGGTCAGCCAAACCAGAC